CTCGTACTGGGAGTACTGGAGCTGCTGGACCTGCGGGTACTTCTGGAGCTGGAGTTGCTGCGGGTGTTGGCGCGGAGGCTACTGCTGTCGGTCCTGGAGGCGGTCCTGCTGGGGGTACTACTGGTGCTGCTGGGGGTTCTGGAGCTGGAGCTGCTACGGGTGCTGGTGCTGTCCCTCCTTTGTCTGGAGTCGCCGCGCGGCCTCGGCCGTACTTCGTTCCGCTCCTTCAGCAGGTTCTTGGTCTCCCGCCTTCCACTGGTCCTCCTCCTCCCTTAGAGTGTCCACAGCCTGTCCCGTCGCAGTTACAGTTACAGCCGGCCTCCCCACTGCCTGCTCCGTCTCCCTACACTGGTCCTACTGGAGGTCCTGCTGAGCGTCGTGAGCCTGCGTCTCGCCCTGCGTCGCCTGTCCGTGCTGCTCGCACTAGTGGTCGCGGTTCGCGTCAGCGTCCTCCTCCTGTCCCTGGCACGCACCGGATGTCTCTGCGTCCGTCCACTGCTCCTCTGCGTGCCCCTTTGCCTTCTCCTCCTGAGTCTTCTCTTCCTGCTCTTGCCGACCCGGAGTCGGACTCTCTTCGTGCTGCCAGTCCTACTGTCACGCGTCTCCTTGCTACTGTTGTCACTGACCCTTCCTTTGAGTCCACTGCTGCGTCTGCCCTAGTTGCTGAGCTCGTCGACTTTGCTGCTCGCTGTCGCCTAGACTACGTCGCCAGTCTTGTTGCTGAGTCTGAGTCTGTCTGTCCTCCGTCCGTCGGGGGTGAGTGTGCCCTTGGCACGGACGTCCTTGAGGACAGGCAGGAGGAGTTCCAGTGCTTGGCCGCTGCTTCACCTCATCTCGTGTCCGTACTGCTTACCCCTGAGGGAGACCCGGATGCACTTGACATCCCGACTCCGCGCTCTTACGCGGAGGCGATAGAGGGTCCCTACTCCTCTCAGTGGCAGGCAGCTATGGACGCAGAGATGGCTTCCTGGAAGTCCACAGGCACCTACGTTGATGCTGTTCCCCCTCCTGGGGCGAACATCGTCAGTGGCATGTGGATTTTCAGGGTGAAGCGACCGCCGGGTTCTCCGCCTGTCTTCAAGGCGCGTTACGTGGCTCGTGGCTTCAGTCAGCGGCAGGGAGTTGACTACTTTCAGACCTTCTCTCCCACCCCGAAGATGACCACTCTTCGGGTACTGCTGCACGTAGCTGCTCACCGTGACTACGAGCTACACTCTCTTGACTTCAGCACTGCTTTCTTGCAGGGCAGCCTGCACGAGGAGATCTGGCTGCGTCGCCCACCTGGCTTCACTGGGTCTTTTCCTCCTGGCACCCAGTGGAGCCTACGGCGGCCAGTCTACGGTCTCCGCTAGGCACCACGTGAGTGGCACGACACACTGAGGACTACACTTGCGGCTCTTGGGTTTGCTCCCTCTACTGCCGACCCGTCGCTGTTTCTACGCACCGACACTTCTTTGCCGCCGTTCTACATCCTCGTGTACGTCGACGACTTGGTCTTTGCCACAGCTGACACTGCAGGACTAGCCCACGTGAAGTCCGAGCTGCAGAAGAGACACACGTGCACTGACCTGGGTGAACTGCGCAGCTACCTTGGCTTGCAGATCACTCGGGATAGAGCACGCCGCACCATTACCCTGACTCAGTCACACATGGTGCAGCAGGTCCTTCAGCGCTTCGGCTTCACGTACTCCTCGCCTCAGGCCACTCCTCTGCCTACTCGCCACTCGCTCTCAGCTCTGCCTTCGGATGAGTCCGTAGAGTCGAGTGGCCCGTACCCAGAGCTTGTTGGCTGCCTCATGTACCTGATGACCTGCACACGACCTGACCTTGCATACCCTCTTAGCATTCTTGCACGCTATGTTGCTCCTGGGAGACACAGACCAGAGCACATGGCTGCAGCGAAGAGGGTGTTGCGCTACTTGTGCAGTACGTCGGGCATGGGGCTTGTGCTTGGAGGGCAGAGTCCAGTGGTCCTTACTGGGCACGCAGACGCTTCTTGGGCTGACGACCAGGCTACGCAGCGGTCGTCACAGGGTTACACCTTCAGCCTTGGTTCCGGCTCTGTTTCGTGGCGGGCTACTCGCTCGTCTTCTGTTCTCGGCTCCAGTTGTGAGGCTGAGATCTACGCAGGAGCCATGGCTGCACAGGAGCTTCGCTGGCTCACCTACCTGCTGACTGACCTCGGAGAGTTGCCTCGTTCTCCTCCAGTGCTGTACGTAGACAACAAGGCCATGCTGGCCTTGTGTCGGGAGCAGCGACTGGAGCACAGAACGAAGCACATTGCTCTCCGCTACTTTCTTGCTCGTGAGCTGCAGCAGCGTGGTCAGCTGCGTCTTGCGTACGTGGCCTCTGAGGCCAACACTGCTGATATCTTCACCAAGGCGCTTGCGCCTTGTGACCATCAGCGCTTCTGTACTCAGCTGGGCCTTGTGCCTACCTTGCCTCACTTGCTCACCTCTTGACCTTGCTTGTACTGTTACATATATATATACCTGCTCTTGCTTGTCTAGCCTTTTTTATATATATGTACTCCTGCATGTGAACTGGCCTTGTGGCCTTGAACTTGTGCTCGGAATGTGTGGTGACTTTGTGATCCACCCTGAGCTTGCTTTGCTTTGCTTTGCTTGACTGGTCTTGTGACCCCTTGTTCTCCCCCACTTTGCCTATGGGGGTGTGTCAGAACATTATAGCTCATGCATATTGTGTAGGCTATAGTGGGGTAGTCCATAAGGGGTACAACCCAATTAGGGTTAGTACTTGTACCCAATTCATTCATAGTTCATTCATTCCTTGTTTCTTCTCACGACCACCCTTATTCATATATGTAAACCTATATTATATGTCAATGTATATGTAAATAGCAGTAGTTCATCAAATATCAAAGTCATGTTACGATATTATATAATTCTCATTATATGTCAAGTGCATCTAAAAATTACACTGTAATGTTGCTTCGCAACCCTAAGACGATTTCGTCGCCTCTTGTTTTTTTTTTTTTTGTCTCGTCAACCTGCAGCCCCTGCGTGCGCCCCGTCGGCTGCCCCGCGGACGCCCCGTCGGCTGCCCCGCGGACGCCCCGTCAGAAGCCCCGCGAACGCCCTGCCCGTCACCCCGCGCGCGCCCCGTGGGCAGCTCCGCGGGCGCCCCCATAGCAGCCCCGCCCGCGCCCCGTCGCCTGCCCCGCACGCGCCTTTCCTGTCGCCAGTGCTACGGCCAGCAGCGAGCGCAAGTGCAAGCGCCATCGCCAGCACCGGCGCCAGCACCAGCACCGGCGCCAGCGCCAGCGCCTGCGCCAACGCTAATGACGGTGCCAGCGCCGGCAGCAGCCAACCCCCCCCCCCCCGCCCTCCCTTCCGCGGCTTCCGTCGTGGGAAGGGGGAGGGGGAGAAGTGGGGGTGGCGGGTGTGAGCAGCCGGCAGCCCGTCCCTCCCCTCCCTCTTCCTCTCTCCCTACAGCACTTGTTGCTGTGGGGGGGAAGGGAAGAGGTTAAGGGGGGAGGAGAGGGAGGTTAAGGGGGTAGAGACAAGGAGAGAGAGAGAGAGAGAGAGAGAGAGACAGAGAGAGAGAGAGAGAGGGAGAGAGAGAGAGAGAGAGAGAGAGAGAGATTAGGCCCCTCGTTTCCGTCGTCTCGCGTGTTCGCCCCTCGTCGCTCTCACCGGGCATCCATTGTGGGGGTTAAAACGTAGGCGGGTATCCTACCGAAGGGCCCAGCTGCTGCACGGTGATTGATGCGCTCCCTACACCAACTAGTCTGCATGCAATCAAAGGGGGGATGTCAGAATATGGTGTATTATTACATAATTGCATGTTTTAGCTAGTGGTGTAGGGCCTTGGTGGTATACCCCATTTGTCCACCTTTCCTATATCTTGTAGCTCTCTCATATTGCAAACCCCTTCTTTGTTCCCAACTCCATGTCTTCCTAGAACCCAAGTTTCTTTTAAGCCTAGTATCTTGACAGCATATGGTATGGTAATTTTGTTAACTGTTGATCTGAGAGGGACACCTATGAGTGTACCCTTTTTGGATGGAGAGGTTCTCCTCTAGTGTAATGAATATAGCAACTCATTACTGGGTCTGCTTCTAAGGCGTACAGCCTCGGGCACTTCGCGCCAGTTTTCGGTTCGGCCTACACTTCGGCCCGAACCACTGCCGAATCGCTCCGCACTAATCGCGACAAGTCCAACCCATGCACATCCCGAGGTCCGCGCCTAGCACGTATTCGCCCTATAAATGCTTGCTTTATTCTGTAATTCATCCTTTTTATAAAGTCTTCTGCGCACTCTGTTTAGTACAACTAATAACATCTAGCGTGTCAAAGAACTCCAAATCCCACCCGGGCTCAGATGTGCCGTCACCAGCGTTCTGTCACGGAACGGAACGTCTGTGTTTCTGGGAGGACAAACGACGCTTCACAAATCATTACAGTATGACCCAGCTTGCAAGATACAAACCGAGGCGCAACTGCCCACGTTTGCCTCCTGACGCTGAACGGTCAGGATGAACCTGAATTGAATAATTGATTCAGCATCCTGAGCGGAATAGTGTGTCTAAAAATGGTGGGTAGCGGTTTGAGATGGTGAATGTATATCACTCATCCAGACTACACAGCATCGTACTCAACCGAACGAACTTGAAGAACCTCGATTGTCTGACACCCCCTCGAGATTGCCACACTGACGTTCCCGCGGGGAGGTCCTGCTTGGGTTTGCCGTAGTGAAGATTGGGCTACTCCGTAGAAAGCTTCAGTTTCTCGTGCTCTGTCATTCCTAATAGCGGAACCACGCGATTTTACTGACTGAGACCTTTTTAGGAGATGGAGCCCAGCTTATTCAAATATTGCTGCATCAGTCTAGGTTTCCTCCTCTCGGCCGCTGCGCTACCACTAGCGCATGCAGAGTCCAATGCATGGCCGTATATTCTCACATTCAAAATAGTCAAGACGTTTCCGCATGACACGTCAGCCTTCACGGAGGTCCGTATTCGTGTGCCGTTCGCGTCCATGCGCCGTTCGAATTCATGTGACACGTCACCCGTCTTTCTCGTCCTACCGCTGAATTTCCACCTCGTCTTTAACAACTCCTCGTCTTCATTTCCTCTGCCGGCTTATTGCCTGCGTTTGTTATCATTCTCTGCGACTCCCCTTCCCCGCTGAACAGGGTCTGGTGTACGTGAGTCATAATGCGAGCGGAGGAAGAAGCAGCGGGGAAGGAATCTTCTACGAATCTACTGGGATGCGTGGACAGGTAATCCCGCTTAGAATGGACGCAGTACCAGCGTAACATGAAGCCTCCTGATTCATTATAGCTGTATGATCATTTCTACACACGGACGTCAAGTTGGTCGTCTGTGATTTGAGACGTTTCAGAATGGGTATACCCTATTTCCTGTTCCCTGTTCAGTGGATACAGCCACTGGAATGTTCTCCAGCTAAGCATCCTTCTATTCCTGCCTCTCTCTCGTCCCCACCCTGTTTTCTTCACTCTGTCTCCCCCTCCTTGTGTGCAGTCCAGTGTGAGAGAAGTGGACGTCGCCACAGGGAAGGTATGCTAGTACGACAAAAGAAACCTGATGTATATTTTAGCTTTTGAGAATTCTAAAAAAAAACCTAATGTGTACCATCTTATGCCCATCCAGCGTGTACAGCTGTGTATGAGAAGCTGCTGCCAGTATCCATCTCATCATGACTACTACACATACGAGATGCTTAGAGAAGAATATGTTACGTTTGTATGCTTGCTGCCCCTCACCCACGACTCTTAGACAGGCGTACAAAACCCAACCAGCCACCCACCCATGCACCCACCCATCACCCACCACACACCACGCAGGTTCTCAAGAAGGTGCCTCAGAGCGCTCCGGTGTTCAGTGAAGGGCTCGCACTCATCAACGACAGGTCGGGTGTGAGACGTCCCAACAGCCTCTTACCCTATCCACTTACCCACCCACCCACCATCCACCACCCATCACACTGTCGTTGGAAACAGTTGAAGCTGTATAGTTGCTTGGTGTAGATGGTGACCCACCGTGTGTGTCTAAACAGCTTTTGAGGCGCCTCAATTGAAGCTGTATAGTTGCTTGGTGTAGATGGTGCCCCACCGTGTGTGTCTAAACAGCTTTTGAGGCGCCTCAATTGAAGCTGTATTATTGCTTGGTGTAGATGGTGACCCACCTTGTGTGTCTAAACAGCTGCTGCTGCCTCGGTCTTTAGCCCGTCCTGTCTCTGACGCCCTCTGTCTTTTGCCTGTGTCTGTTGCTGGATTTCTGTCCCCTCAGGCTGTTTCAGTTAGCGTGGCAGGTGAAAACGGGAACGATATACAACCGCAAAAGTTTGCAAAAGATAGGTGAGAGATAAAAATTTCAGGGGCAGGCTAGTTGTGAACGAATCAGTCCCTCCCACCGTATCGGTCTCAACTCAGTGTTTCCGACCCGGTTCAACCATCCTCCCCCCCCCCGCATCCGTTCATTTCTCATACCCACAAGGAGGTGTGTCACAGACCCCCGCTCACACACCTCCTTCACCCACCGCTCTCATGCGGCTCCTTCCAGGCAGCTTCCGCCACCAGATGACGGACGGTTGGGGCCTGTCAACGTACAATAAGTCGCTGCTGGTGGGCTCCGATGGCACCTCCTACATCTACTTCATCAGCGCAACCACCTTCAAGAGTGAGTTTGCAGCAGCACGCATAATCGTGCTTTAACACACCTGCAGCGCACTGCCAGTCGCTGCTGGTGGGCTCCAATGGCACTTCCTACATCTACTTCATCATCGCAACCACATTCAAAAGTGCGTCCATAGGCCTTCTAGAGTAGGTAGGTAGTGGGTTGGGCACCACAGGGGGCTGTTTGAAAGAAGCACCAGACGAGTGACGGGTGGGGCCTATCAACTTACAATTAATCGCTGCTGGTTGGCTCTGATGGCACTTCCTACATCAGCGCTACTACCTTGAAGGCCGAGTTAGTAGCATCACAATCATGTGCATATTCACGCTTCGACGCATCTCAAGCATACAACCATTCGTTGCTGGTTGGCTCCGATGGCGCATGCATCATACATCTACTTATGGTCAGTGCAACCAGCTTTGAAAATACGTTAATTGCATCACGCTTGTGTGCTAAGTAGCGGTCATGCTTTGAGCCCCTTCGAGCGTGTAATTAACCGATGCTGGTTGGTCCTGGTTGCGCCTCCTATATCGACTTCATCAGTGCAACTACCTTCAAAAGTGTGTCCATAGACGAGAGTAGGCAGTGGAATTGCAAGCAGCTTGAAGAGTATGCCATGTCACAGCATGGGCTTCCCTTTGTGAGATACATAACATCAACCATTCTCTGCTCCAATGGCGCCTCCTGTATTTACTTTCTCATCGGAACCAGCTTGGAGAGCTGGTTCACCACATACAGCAACCATTCTCAACCCCCCTCAACCCCCCCCCACATACCAGCGCTGCACAAGGTGAAGGTGACGGATGGCGGCACACCTATAGTGCGGATCAACGAGTTGGAAGTGCGGTGATGATGATGGGAGCAGCTCGATGGTGGGGAGCAGCCCCACCCCCACTGCCCCCCCGCCTGTCCTGCCTCCAACCGCTCCCGTTTGCCTTTCTCCCCCTCAACCCCCCACCCATCTCAGCGCTGCACAAGGTGAAGGTGACGGATGGCGGCACACCTATAGCGTGGATCAATGAGCTTGAAGTGCGGGGCGGGCGTATCTATGCCAACGTGTGGCAGGTGCGAGGGGGGAGGGGGAGGAGAGTGGGAGCGTGGAGGGTCATGGATGCATGGGGTTGGATGGGAGTGCTGTAAGGGTGAACGCCCATAGCGTGGATCAACGAGCTTGAAGTGCGAGGTGGCCGTATCTATGCCAACGTGTGGCAGGTGCAGGGGAGGGGGGTGAGAGTGGGAGAGGGAGGTGAGAGAATATGGATGCATGGGGTTGAATGGGAGTGCTGCAAGTGTGAACTCAACGAGCTGCAAGTGCAGGGCGGACGTTTTTTCCGAGGCAAATCAAAGTAAACAAAGTCCTTCCTTCCCTTCCCCATCCCTTCTGGTCCGTCCCTTTACCCTCAGACGGATTGCATCGCGGTGATCGACCCGCTGTCAGGGCGAGTGGCGGCCTGGATGGACCTGCAGCGCCTGCGGTGAGTGCTGTGCTGGTTGGTGTGTGCAGTGAGCATGTGCGTCATTTGAACTGGGCATGCAGGTCGAGTGTCAAGTGAATGGTGTCAGGGCGAGTGGCGGCCTGGATGGACCTGCAGCGCCTGCGGTGAGTGCTGTGCTGGTTGGTGTGTGCAGTGAGCATGTGCGTCATTTGAACTGGGCATGCAGGTCGAGTGTCAAGTGAATGGTGTCAGGGCCAGTGGCGGCCTGGATGGACCTGCAGCGCCTGCGGTTAGTGCTGTGCTGGTTGGTGTGTGCAGTGAGCATGTGCGTCATTTGAACTGGGCATGCAGGTCGAGTGTCAAGTGAATGGTGTCAGGGCGAGTGGCGGCCTGGATGGACCTGCAGCGCCTGTGGTGAGTGCTGTGCTGGTTGGTGCATGCTGTGCTGTGAGCGGATGCAATCCGTCTGGGGTAAAGTGCTGGTTAGAAACATGCATTTTTTATATTGCATGTTGGTTGTGTGGTGCATTTCTCTATTGCTGCGTGCGGTCTGGTCTCTCTGTAACCGACCCGTTTCTTTCTTCTCCCTCTCACGAACCCTCTCCCTCTCACCTATCTCTCTCATTCTCTGTCTTGTCGTGCCTCAGGGCGCTAGCAGCAGCCCAAGTGAAGCCCAACCAGGAGTTTGATGTGCTGAACGGCATTGCATGGGATGCACAACAGAGGCGCCTCTTTGGTACGGGCATTGCATGGTTTGATTACACCATGCAACGACTCTTTGGTTCCACCCCTCATGGCCCTATGCGGTGAATTTTGAGTCGACGCAAAAGTCACCTCACAACAGAGGCGCCTCTTTGGTACGGGCATTGCATGATTTGCTTGCTTGGGTTTGGCTCCACCCCTCATGGCCCTATGCCCCCATGCTTCCCAGTTTCCCCTGAATTCTCAGTCAATCTTTACCACGCCCTGTCTTCCCAGATGCTGGTGATCAGGCTTTTCTCTCTCTCTCTCTTTGAGCATGATTATCAGCACATCTCACCTTATTACCATCATCCCGCTTGTCCATCCCAAGCCTTCCTTTGAGGCACCTCCGAAAGTCATCTTGCTCCACGTTTCCATTATCCACCTGTCCATAAGTATCTCACCCTATCATGAGTATCTCCTGTCCATCCTATGTCGTAACCCTCACCATTTCCTCATTATTCTCTGTGGCATTCCTTTGCAGTCACGGGGAAATACTGGCCTCGGGTGTTCCAGATCGCTCCCAAGACCCTCACAAGATCAACTGCTGATGACGTGGCAGCCATTCGGCTGAGGTGCCACCCACAGGTGTACAGGAGATGAGACGAGACGAGCCATCCGAACGTGCCACCCATCGGTGTGTGGGGGACGATATGCGAGGCAAATAAGCATCTGTTCAATGCAATTGGGGAATGATATTTCCCAACCATGTGTTCTTGCTATATACATTCTGTGGAATGTAGATGTTACCCTATCTCTGTCTAAGTTCATGGACGAAACGAAGGGTGGGTGTTCCACGTGCATATGCGATATTCACACCCGGTTGATGTTTAAATGCGGCAGTTGTGAACATGCTACCGGTAATTTCCTTTTGGATACGGATGAATATGATAGAAGCACCATCCACCTTTAGCTGCTGGTCCTGTACTCAAGGATAGGTAACATATCCATTTTAAAAGTGGTAATTCCATAAGGTACAAAATATCTTAGTCGTATCATGAGTCAAGTGCAGAGGCATGTATATAGAACGAACCTTCCAAACAGACCCGCCTCGCAACGGGAAAGTACAACGAATCCTCGCCATGACACGTCACGCCAGTTCGAATGCGAGGATGAGGAGCGGAATACTTGCCGCTCCCTTGAGAATACCGTAGACCGTAACTTGCAATTTTTTCGCAGACTTCTTCTCAACCAGGCTTCCGTCTAGTAGACGGAACAACATTCCTTGCATAAGAACCTTCAGTATTATTCAGTCAGAGCTCTCGTCCTTGCATACGGACTTTCCGTACATTTTCCTCCATTCTGTCAACGCGTTTCGCGTGCATGAGCTCCCGCTTTCATTAACTGATCCAACGGCCCTATGGGCTCGCTATTATCGAGGCTGCTCGCCAGCCGTCCGATGGCCGGCCCCACGATGGTGGTGAAGGATCTCGTTCTGATCGGCGGAGGTCACAGGTGCGCTTTCCTCGAAGCTTCTTGGCGTGGTCCCATATTAATTTTCATTCTGCAAGAGCACGCTAGTAGAGTCCTTTTCCCACCCACTCCTTTATGTCACGCAAGCTCCTTTTGATCCCAGAGCACCCCAGAGCATTTCAGAGCACCCCAGAACACCCCAGAGCAACCCAGAGCAGGGCTTTCCTGGCTCTCCCTCCCGCTCTCCCTCCCGCTCTCCCTCCCGCTCTCCCTCCCGCTCTTTCTTCTAATTGGTGTGAGATTTCCTTCGATCCTCCTTCCTTCGATTTCCTTCCTGGCTCTTCCCCGCTCATCCTCCCCGTCCCTCCTTCCGTCACTCCTTCCTTCCCCCCTTTTCCAACACCCCCCCCCCCCCCCCTCAAACCCCCCTCCCTCTCCCCCCCCTCCCCTGAAACCATGCCTGCTGCATGCTGGGTATGTTTTTTGAGAATTCTCAAAAAACATACCTCACACCCCCCTCTCTCTCCCCCCCCTCCCCTGAAACCATGCCTGCTGCATGCTGGCAGCCACGTGGTGGTGCTCAAGAGCTTCGCCATGAAGCCGATGCCAGGTGTCAGGCTCACATTGGTCACTCGGGACGTGCACACGCCTTACAGCGGCATGCTGCCAGGCCTCGTGGCCGGTAAGAGCATTCACCTCACTTCCTTCCTGACATACACTGAGACGTGCACTCGAATCTGCAGTAGAGGCATCCCGAATCCCAATTGCCCCCTCCCATCCCATCCACTACTCTTGACATGCACTGAGACGTGCACTGAGACGTGCACTGAGACGCGCACTGCGACGTGCACTGAGATGCGCACTGCGGCGCGCACTGAGACGCGCACTGCGACGCGCACTGCGACGCGCACTGAGACGCGCACTGCGACGTGCACTGCGACGTGCACCGAGACGTGCACTGCACTGACCCACCCAGGTCATATCGGCCTGCACTTGACATACTCTCGGCCCAACTCACCAACGCTTGCCTGCTCCACTGCTGCTCCTCGGACCTGAACCTGGGAGGATCACTGCTCTCTCTTCTCTTCCCCCACAGCCTTTCCCATTTCCCTGTCCCTCTCCCGCCTTACCCCGTCTTCCTCTTCTCCTCTTCCCTCTGCCACCCACCCAGGCCACTACACGTACGACGACTGTCACATCGACCTGCGCCCCTTGGCCCAACTCACCAACGCTCGCCTGCTGCACTGCTGCGCCTCTGGCATTGACCTGGATCAACGTGCTGTGGTGCTGGCGGATGGGCGCCCCCCCATTCGCTACGACGTACTGTCCATTGATATCGGGATCACTCCACTGGTATGCCGTCACGTCATGCACTAGTGTCACCTCTCTGGTAACCGCTGCTGCACTGCTGTGCCTCTGGCCTGGACTTGGAGCAGAGAGCTGTGGTGCTGGCGGATGGGCGTCCTCCTATTCGCTACGACGTGCTTTCCATTGACATCACTGGTATCCTGTCACCTCACGTACGCACTACCAACATCCGCTGCTGCACTGCTGCGCCTCGGGCCTGGACTTGGATCAGCGAGCTGTGGTGCTGGCGGATGGGAATCGCTTTTGAGAATTATCAAAAGCGATTTCCATGTACTTGGATCAGCGTGCGTGCTGTGGTGCTGGCTGGTGGATGGGCGCATGCCTGCCCATTTGTTACGACGACCTGTGTCTTGACACTCCGCCCCACTCCCATCCCCTCTCTCCATCCGTCTGAGCAGCAATCAGTGCCAGGAGCAAAGGAGCTCACCCTCCCAGTGAAGCCCATCGACTCCTTCACCCACCGCTGGGAGGCTCTGCGGTCACGCATCCTCTCCCTCGCCCCTGTGAGTTGTACTGGGGGGGTTGGTCATGCGTGTGGGTGCAAGAGTGCATCCCCCGAGGATCGAATCAAATTAGATCAAGCACCACCACCAGCAGCGCCCTCCCAGTGAAGCCCATAGACTCCTTCACCCACCGCTGGGAGGCCCTGCGGTCACGCATCCTCTCCCTCACCCCTGTGAGGTGGATCAGAAGGATTCCAGCATGAAAATGGTATGTGAGGCTCCTAAGGAATTACCAAAAAACACCGAATTTAAGGCGCCTCACTCTCCTATCGCGGGTGTTTGGTCTAGTGGCATGATTCTCGCTTAGGGTGCGAGAGGTCCCGAGTTCAATTCTCGGAACACCCCTTTGTATCATTATATATCGCTTCAGTACCCATGGATATTTTTAGGCACCTCAAAAACCTCCTCTCCCTGGCCCCTGTGAGTTGCTTCAACCAACCTTCCTCCAAGTCGTAAACCTTTTAGATTGAGCTGATAGTTACACCCGGATCTTAATGAGGCCCCAACCACAGTCCACTCATTCGCTCACCGCTGGGAGGCCTTACAGTCACGAATCCTCTCTCGCCCCCCTGTAATTTGCACTGGGAAGGTTAGTGGTGGGTCTAAGGGAGTGTGACTCGATCTAAGCTAGGTCCCCATTTTACGAGGTGACTTTTGAGTCGACTCAAAAGTCACTGGGAAGGTTTGTGGTGGGTCTAAGGAAGTGTGAGTCCCTTAGACTCACCACAAGGGGGTGTGACTCGATCCAAGCTAGGTCCCCATCTCCATCCACCCCGCATCTCCCCAATTCCACCACCACGCAACACTGCCTCTTGACTTTATAATATAGCGCTCCACACTTGTTACTGGGCCGACGGGCTTCAACGTGCGTTTACTAACGGGATTTAGCCTGGTGGGAGAGGAAGCGACAGGGGGGTTGGAGCTGCCTCACTTGCATCCACCGTCCCGCAACCCTCCCAATGCAACCCAGCCAGCTAGCAACCACTCTTTTCCCTTGAACATCAGGGCTCTAGCGTGCGAGTGATGGTGGTGGGAGGGAGAGCAGGGGGTGTGGAGCTGGCCTCATCCACATTCACTGTCCTGCACCCTTCCCAACCCAACCCCACCGTTCACCACTCATTCTCTTACAGGGCTCTAGTGTCCGTGTGGTGGTGGTGGGAGGGGGCGCAGGAGGGGTGGAGCTGCTTCTGGCCATGCAGCACCGACTGCAGCAGGACTGCCTGGTAACCAGATAAGCGGTGGTAACCAGACAGTGGTAACCAGCTGGGGTTAAGAACTTCTGCCATTCCAATCCCTACAGCGTTGCCTTTGCAGCTATGATCTGAAGATTCTGCCTTTGTTGTGTCAGTCTTACAGAAATCAGTTAGTGCCTTCAAGAGCAATTCATTTTTTTGTTTGTTCTGGTTTTTTATATTTGTGCGTTTTGCAATATTTTGTGTGTGTGTGTATGTGTGTGTTTGTGTGTGTGTGTGTGTGTGTGTGTGTGTGTGTGTGTGTGTGTGTGGTTTTTTTTTTTTTTTTTTTTTGGTAATACAGAAAAGCCAGGTGTATGCCTCTTTTGTGCTTATAACGAGGGGGGATCTGCTGCCCACCCACAACGCACGCGTGCGATTGATTGTCCGACGGATCTTGAAGGAGAGAAGTGAGTGAGGGGGGAGTGGAAGAGGAGTGTGGTAGGAGTGAGGGAGAGGAGTGAGCGAGAGGAGTGAGGGAGGTTTACGAGGGAGGGGAGTGAAGGTGCTTGATGCGATGATATCTTATCTCTCAAGAAGAGTGTTACCGTTTGCGGCCCATCAACTGGAAGTAACCGTCAGCTGTCTATCCAGTCACCATCCAGGTGACTTTTGAGTCGACTCAAGAGTCAGCTTTTTTTAGTCACCATCCCTCCATGACAACAGTGTGAAAGCTCATAACCTTTTAAGTATCTAATCCTATTCAATCCACCATCCCTCACCCCACATGCGTGCAACCGTCAATGAATGAACCAGGTATGAAGGTTCTCGATGCTGCAGTGGTGGCAGTGAGACAACGAGGAGTGGAGAGCGGTGGAGAGGGAGGGGATAGAGAGGGAGCGGTGGATGGGGCGGAAGGGGAGGTCGGCAGGGGAAGCAGCAGCGGGGCGGGTGGAGGGGAAAAGAGAGAGTCGGCGGTGCAAGGAGGGGTGCTGGTCTTGGAAGGGGGAGAGGAGGTGGAGTTTGACGAGTGTGTGTGGTGCACACAGGTGGGTGTGCTAGTGTGCGTGAGTGAGCAAGAGGGTAAGAGTGTGAGGAAGGAAGTCTGAGAGTGAAGAGGAAAGGGGAGGAACGTGTTTACTGTCTCACATCCCAGCCCCATTGAGGCCTAAACTCCCTACGCTTTTGTCTTACACTTGTACCGAGCATCCACTCCTCTTCTCTCGTTGCTCCCACCAATCCCTCCCAGGGCGGTGCAGCCTCCTGGCTCGCCCAAACAGGCCTAGCTCTCGACAGCAACGGCTTCATCCGAGTGGGGGACACACTAGAGTCGATCAGCCATAGAGGGGTGTTCGCCGCAGGGGATATCCACTCGTCAATTGCCCATATCCCCCCACCTCCCGCCTGCCCCATCTCCTGCCAAACCCCCCCAACCTCCTACGTAACACCCCTGCTTCCCAGGGAGGAGCAGCCTCCTGGCTTGGCCAAACGGGTCTAGCCCTGGACAAAAACGGCTTCATCCGAGTGGGGGACACGCTAGAGTCGATCAGCCATAGAAGGGTGTTTGCAGTGGGGGATATCCACTCATCCGACGTTTACCCACGGCCGAAGGCGGGCGTGTTTGCAGTGCGGCAGGGCATGCCCTTGGCGGAAAACTTGAGGAGAGCGCTTCTGGATCAGCCTTTGAAACCCTTCCAACCGCAGAAAACGTTTCTGAGCCTCATCAGGTGTGGTGGTTTGTATGAATGTGTATGTGTGTGTCGACTGAGTGGGGTCAAAGCCAAGACTGGCGTGTTTGGTGACTTTTGAGTCGACTCAAAAGTCACCTATGTGTGTGTCGACTGAGTGGGGTCAAAGCCAAGACTGGCGTGTTTGGTGACTTTTGAGTGGACTCAAAAGTCACCTATGTGTGTGTCGACTGAGTGGGGTCAAAGCCAAGACTGGCGTGTTTGCAGTGCGGACGGGAATGCCCCTGCCTGGCTGAGAATCCGAAGAGAGCGCTTATGGATCAACATTCAAAACCCTTCAAACCTTTTTGAACCTCCTCGGGTGCATTGGTTTACATGTATCTGTGTGCCTATTGACTGGGTTGTTCAAGTAACAGGACCGAAGTCGGGCATGTTTGTGGTGGGGGGGGTATGTTTTGGATATCCATTTACAGTCAAACTCTCAAGCAGTCAAACTCTCTGTCTCACAACCTTGCCATTCGCTCACATCCCCTCGCTCCCATCCCCTCGCTCACATCCCCTCGCTCACATCCCCTCGCTCACATCCCCTCGCTCACAGCACCGGTGATAAATACGCGGTCTTCTCTCGGGGCTCGTTGGCCTTTGAAGACAGTATTATGTGGACGCTCAAGGTGAGAAAGCAGCTGGACCTCCTTCCTTTATACCATTTTACCGCTCAGCACCGCATCGATCGAGCCTTCCTGAGGCAGTTCAGCCAACTGCCCGCCTTCATCCTTTGGCTGAACTGCCGCATCACCCTTTGAGGCACTGAAACACCTGTAATCGACATCTCGCCCCCTTCCCCCCATCCAAACCTTCCAACCGCTCAGGACCGCATAGACCGGGCGTTCATGCAGCAGTTCAACCAACTACCTGCCATGCCGTCACCTCCTCTCCCCACCATCCCCGTCGCACACACGGCCGGGCCTGAAGCGCTCCTGGCACTCAAAAGCATGCCCATGCGGTGTGGGGGGTGTGGCTCCAAGGTGAGGTGTTTGCAGATGAACACGTAGTTTCCCACCCATCACCTCCTCTCCCCATCATCCCCGTCGCGCACACGGCCGGGCCTGAAGCGCTCCTGGCGCTCAAGAGCATGCCCATGCGCTGTGGGGGGTGTGGCTCCAAGGTGAGAGAGGCGTGTAGGTCGACGTGTAAGTCCCCACCTATCGCCCCCTCTCCCCACCATCCCCGTCGCACACACGGCCGGGCCTGAAGCGCTCCTGGCACTCAAAAGCATGCCCATGCGCTGTGGGGGGTGTGGCTCCAAGGTGAGAGAGAGACCTCTGTGCTCCAAGGTGGGATGTGGACTCCCATGTAAGGTGAGGTGTTACATGCGCTTTGGTTCCACGCCTTCTTGATTGAAGAAGGGTTTTGAGCCGTCTCAAAACCCTTCTTCAATCATGTGGACCCCCATGTAAGGTGAGGTGTTACATGCGCTTTGGTTCCACGCCTTCTTTTGAGGTCGTTTTTGAGGCGGTTTTTGAGGCGCCTCAAAAACTCCCATGTAAGGTGAGGTGTTACATGCGCTTTGGTTCCACGCCTTCTTCATGCCACCGCCCCCTCCCCCCACCATCCCCGTCGCACACATGGCTGGGCCGCTGCAATCAAGAGCATGCCCATGCGGTGTGGGGATTGTGGCTCCAAGGCGAGTCATTGCTAGCTGCGATGTGGGCATGCATTCGCAGTGAGACATATTTCCCTACACCGGACAGCGCGCTCTTGCATCTCCTATCATCACCCACCCCTCAATCGCTCTCCCTTGTCTCTCGCCACCCTCCTGAAGACACCACACAGCCATCTTCTGTCTTCACTCATCTCTTCTCTCCCAACCCTCCCCCCCCCTATCCCACCAGGTCGGCTCTTCCCTTCTCTCCCGCGTCCTCACTCGTCTCGCAGCTCTCCCCAGCCGCCCGCCTGGCCACCCGGAAATCCTCCTGGGGCTTGACTCACCTGATGATGCCGCTGTGCTGGCGATTCCACCTGAGGGAAAGGGCGGCTGTCAGGTATGCATCTGAAAATTCTCCTGGGGCTTGACTCACCTGACGATGCCGCTGTGCTGGCGATTCCACCTGAGGGAAAGGGCGGCTGTCAGGTATGCATCTGGAAAACCTCCTGGGGCTCGACTCACCTGACGACGCCGCTGTGCTGGCAATTCCACCTGACAGCACGGGCGGCAGACAGGTGCGCATGTGGAATTTCTCCTGGCTAATCACCTGATGCTGCCGTGGTGGGTGATTCCACCTGAGAGCAAGGCTGGCTGTCAGGTATGCAAATTCACCTGACGATGCTGCTGTGCTGGCGATAACACCTGACAGCACGGTCGGCGTTAGTCAGGTACGCATCCGGAAATTCTTCAGGGCTGAATTGATGGAATCACCTGGCCTCACACCTGACAATTCGTCTGCATGTGGTTGTCTTCTCATTGGCCACACAGCTGTGAGGGCAGGGCGGGGGCCAATGAGAACCCAGTAGTGGTGCAATCAGTTGACTTCCTCTCCGACCCGCTCCTTCCTCTCCGACCCGCTCCTTCCTCTCCGACCCACACACCTTTGGTCGGATTGCCGCCCTCCATGTTCTCACATGCTTCATGTTTGTTCCCCACCTCCCTTCTCCCCCTGTCTGAGCAACCAGAGCCCAGTGTTGGTGCAAACGGTCGACTTCTTCCGCTCCTTCCTCTCCGATCCGCACACCTGTGCCCACATACCTGCCACTGCCGCCCTCCCTGCCACAACAAGCCATATGCTTTCCCTCTGTCTCCCTTCTCCCCCTGTCTGAGCAACCAGAACCCAGTGGTGGTGCAAACGGTCGACTTCTTCCGCTCCTTCCTCTCCGATCCGCACACCTTTGGTCGAATCGCTGCTCTCCACGCTCTCACAAATTGCATGCTTCCCCTTTTTCTTTCATCTCTCCCTCGCTCTCCCACCAGAGCCCAGTGTTGGTGCAAACGGTCGACTTCTTCCGCTCCTTCCTCTCCGATCCGCACACCTTCGGCCGCATTGCCGCCCTACATGCTCTCAGTGACTGCTTCGCCATGGGTGCTGACCCCGTCTCAGCGCTCGCTATAGTCACACTGCCCTATGGTACCGAGGAGAAGGTGAGACCCCCGTTACTGTCACATTGCTTGCCGTCCTCCACGCTCTCGGTGACTGCTTCGTCATGGGTGCCTTCCCCCTCGCTCTCCCATTTTCGTCTCTTCCCATCTCCCATGTCTCCCCCTCCCACTCTCATCAGATGGAGGAGGAGATTTTCCAGCTCATGCCAGGGGCCATCTGCGAATCAAAAGCGCCCCTTTTGCTCTCCCTTCTCCCTCCCCCTTCCCTCCACTTCTCCCCCTTCCTTGTCCGACTCATCCATCTCCCCCTTCACTCCCACTCCCCCACTTCTCCTTTCCACTCTCATCAGATGGAGGAGGAGCTTTTCCAGGTCATGGCAGGGGCCATCCGCGAATTGGATGCTGCCACGTGTCAGCTGGTGGGAGGGCACACTGTGGAGGGTGCTGAGCTGTCGCTGGGGTTTGCTGTCACGGGATTGGCTGACAGAGACCGGCTGCTGAGAAAGGTACATGAGTAACTATTGTTAATTTCTGAAACATAATCCTGCCATCATCCTCACCCACTTGTCACACCGCACAGGAGTCACACCGCACAGGAGTCACACCGCACAGGAGTCACACCGCACTTGTCACAGCAGCATCTCCGTCCCATACCTCCCTCCCTGGACTGTCCTGTGTGCGTTCCTCTCTCACCCCATGCACACACACAGGCGGGCATGTGTGAGCGAGATGCCATCATTCTCACCAAGCCCATCAGCACAGGAGTCACACTTGTCACACCTACATCTCCTTCCCATACCTGTCTCTGGGATGCCTTGTGTGCGCACCTCGTGTCCCATGCAGGCGGGCATGCATGAGGGAGATGCCATCATTCTCACCAAGCCCATCGGCACGGGAGTCATCTTTGCAGCCAACATGCGATGCAAGGCCAAGGTGGGACAGTGGAATGGTGAGCTAAAAGCTCGGGTCATAGGCATAGGGCCTCGGGGTCACAATCAACACTCTTCTCAGCCAAAAACTTACTCAAAGAACAAAACCTTTCATCAAGAAAGTCACAGTTAATAATACATGACTCCAACAGCTGTCTGGCCATATTTCCACCATATGAGATTCCTCTCATATGAGATGATTTTTTAGGCGCCTCTTTATCCCAGCGCAGAAGTAGTTCCGACAGCTCTCTGGTCGAATTTACCACCCAATAGACCTAGGCCTACTTTAGCCCAGCTCTTTTCCTTGAATATGGTGGTGGGATTTCCTAATTACCTCTATCCATCTGCCAGTGCCCCCTCTTTGTACTCAAGCGTTACCTCCTGACCTCTATCCGTCTTCCTCTGCCTAACCCCCCCTCCCTTGTGCTATCCTCCCACACCCATCAGGGACGGTGGGTGGATGGGGCGATCGATAGCATGCTGGTGTCTAATCAGGTGAGTCCAGGCAAGGGAAGAATCCCCCGATTCATTCAACAATATCGGCAAGTAACACTGCTGAAACAAGTAGGCCTCCCTCGGCATCGTCCTCCCACAACCATCAGGGACGGTGGGTGGATGGGGTGATCCATAGCATGCTGGTGCCTAATCAGGTGAGTCATCAAGGGAAGAAACGTTGGCCCTGTTAGTTCAACATATCAGCAAGTAGCATTGCTGAAGCAAGTAGCCCACTCCTGGCATCGTCCTGCCATGCCGCTCAGGGACGGTGGGTGGATGGGGTGATCCATAGCATGCTGGTGTCTAATCAGGTGAGTCGGGGGAAGGCGTGATGTGTCAAGTAGTGTGATGCCTCGCAACTGGTGTAGATTCAGGTGACTTAAGGGCTGAAACGTTCCTTCCCTCATTCCTGTTCAAGCTTCGAAACCAGCAGGGGAACAGCCATTCAATTACATGGCAACATGGAACTCTTGCTGCCACCATCATTACTACCCTATTGCCCCTCTCCTCTCCCATTCCCTTCCCTTCCCTTGCAACCCATCATCCCCCCTTCCCTCACCTTCCTTCCCCTCTTCGCCACCAGAAAGCAGCGTCCATTGCATTGCAACATGGGGCCTTGGCTGCTACTGATGTCACGGGGTTTGGCTTACTTGGTGAGTTTAGCCGGACCAGTACGTTTTGAGAGGTCTTGATACTACGTACCATGCCATGCCATGCAATGCCATGTCTTACCATGTGCATATTGCGATGTGTGTATGTGACATGCCTTGCCTATGCACATACAACAACCCATGGCTTGGCCTGCGTGTGTGCCATGCTTCTCCAATGCCGTGCGTATGCATCAACAAGTGGAAATGGCCCCAGCATCTCGAGTTACTGTCACCATCGGTCCCTCTACAATCCCCATTAATTCAATTCGGCCCTTCATGCCTTCCTTGTATGCCTTCCCATGCCGTCTACAGGCCACCTGGTGGAAATGACAACAGCATCTCGAGTTACTGTAACAATCGACCCCTCTACAATCCCCATTATGGTAACCACTTGCACACCTCGTAACCAACTGTAGTGATCGTCCATGTTTTGTAATAGAATGCTTTTCAAGAAGGCGTTTTCAGCAAAATGCAGGATTCGAAGGCTTTTTTTGTTTCCTTCCCTGAGCCCTCCCTTCCTCTCAACAATGGCACTTTGACATGCATGTAAGGCATGCAAGGTTAGCTCACTTCAGTAATTTTATTCTGAGCTTGAAACATCTCCACCTTTTCCTCAACCTCACCCATCCCCTTCTCTCTCTAGGACGGTGCACGGCAGTGTGTGGAGGATGGCATTTTCAGCTCGCTGCAGGATTCGAACCTGCGCCTGAGACGAGCAATCACCAACTACGAGGAGGTGAGGGAGAGGACAGAATGCTAGGATGTGGGGATGAGATGAGATGAATCGACTAGTGAGTTTCGTAAGCCACATACCATAGACCCACCCCCTCCTTCACCCTTGCCCTCCCCAAAACTCCCTCCCTCACCCCACCCTCCTTCCCTCCTCTCTGTTCAGGCATCCGCCCATCTGCTCACTCTGCTCCTCTTCGACCCGCAAACAGCCGGAGGGCTGCTCTTTTCTTTCCATCCCTAAGCCACGGCCACGCATGGCTTTGAATCGTGACATTGCTATCTGCTCAATGCTTGCCATCTATGCAGCACCTCATGAATTTCTCGCTTCTCTCCCCCATCCCCACCATGGTGTCCAGGCATCCGCCCATCCCCGCACTCCTCTCCTCTTCGACCCGCAAACAGCCGAAGGGCTGTTCCTTTCCATCCCCCAAGCCACTGCCCACTCACTGCTTGCTGGCTCTGAAACCCCAAATCCTTCGCTCCACTTTCCCCTTCACCTTCCCCACTCTCCCTCCCTCCCCCTCCCTCTACCTTGTCCAGGCATCCACCCATCCGCTCACTCCGCTCCTCTTCGACCCGCAAACAGCTGGAGGGCTGCTCCTTTCTGTCCCCCAAACCACGGCCACTCAGTGCTTGCTAGCTCTGCACAGAGAGGGGTACCCTGCTGCTGCTGTGATTGGTCGGGTAATTTCGTCATCAACAGAAGAGGCAAGTGGGGATGCGTCTGTTACAATAGCCTACAGCCAGTAAAAGACTGCATAAAGTTTGGTATGGCCTTTTTGACAAGAAGTGTTCCCAAGTTTTGGGACGTCTCAAACCTACGCCTCTGTTACATTAGACTGCAGCCAGTAAGGATGCATAAAGTATGTACTATTTGACAAGAAGTGGCCTCCAAGCCACGGCTACACAGTGCTTGCTTGCTCCGCACTGCGAGGGGTTCCCTCCCTGCTGCTGTGATTGGTCGAGTGGCAAGCGGATTCTGAAGGAGAGGCAAGCGGATCACACTGTTACGATGCAATGCTGCCCTATTACAAAAGTGTGCTGTTCCGTGTGTGTGTGATGGTACACAATTCCTCGGGTCCTTATATTATGGTACAGATTATTAGATCAAAGGTTCACCACAACATACGGTAACACAAGCAGCAACCAGTAAGGCATTCGTTATATGGTATGTGTGATTCCAGGACACTGGCTGAACGCATCTGTTATTAGGATGGAAAGATATGAACACTGTAGTGAGGGGGAGGGTCAGGAAGGCCGAAAGGGGGTGAAGGACCTAACAGCATGCAATGAAAAAAGCAAATCAGGGAGGAAAAGCAGCAGTAGGGGCAGTGGCAGAAGGCATGGCTTTCCAGGGTGCAGCAGCAGCAGCAGGAGGAGGAAGAGGAAGAGAGGGTGCATTATGGGCAGCAGCAGTAGCAGCAGCAGCAGCAGTAGAAGCAGGAAAAGGAGGGACAGTGGCAACAGGGCCTTTAAGGGCAGCAGGAGCAGCAGCCGGAAAAGTAAGGACTTGTTTGGAGCTCACAGGCAGTATGGATGCGGCTACTGAGCGAGTGGCTGAGGGGATAGACAATTGCAGACACCAGGGGGTGATGCCCTGGTGTAGACACCTGGTGTCAGGGGAAAAGAGTCACTTCTGAGAATTCTCAGGGGCAGCTGCAGGAAGTGAGGTCGAAGTGAGGACTTGTTTAGAGCCAACAGGCGGTAAGAGTGCAGCCACTGAGTGCGTGGCAGAGGTAAGAGACGAGGGGGTAGAGGAAGGGACAGACGAGGGGGTAGAGGAAGGGACAGACGAGGCGATGGATGAGAGAGGAGAGGAAACCACGGCATTCTTTAGAGCGGGGTTGAGAGCGGGAGCGGGATTCCCAGTAGGAGCAGGACGAGCAGGCTGGTTAGGAACGAGGTGCGAGTGGGTGTGGTGAGCGTTAGAGTGAGACGCGCCTTTAGAGGCAGGGCGAACGAGCTGCTTTGCTGTGAGGTGCGAGTGAGTGTGGTGAGTGGGGTGAGTGTGGTGAGTGTTAGAGTGAGATGTGCTGGCAGCCTTGGTAGTGGCTGGGCGGCGAGGGGGAATGATGTGCAGCTTCACAGAGTTGCCTCCTCCCCCTCCTCCTGCTGCTGATGCTGTTGCTCTTGGTGTTGCTGCTGATGCTGTTGCTCTTGGTGCTGCTGCTGATGCTGTTGCTCTTGGTGCTGCTGCAGCTGTTGCTCTTGGTGCTGCTGCTGCTGTTCCTTGTGGTGCTGCTGCTGTTGCTGTTGCTTTTGGTGCGGCTCCTGCTGTTGTTGTTGCTGCTGTTGCTCTTCCTGCTGCTGTTGTTGTCGCTGTTGTTGCTTTCGTTGCTGCTCCCGTTGCTGCTGCTGTTGCTCTTGGTGCTGCTCCTGTTGTTGTTGCAGCAGCTCCTCTTGGTGCTGTGCCAATTGCTGCTGTTGTTGCTTTTTCTGTTGTTGCTTTCGGTGCTGATCCCGTTGCGGCTGTAGTTGCTCTTGGTGCTGCTCCTGCCGCTGCCACTCCTGCTTCTGCTCCTGCTGCTCCTGTTGCAACAACATCTGCTGGCAAGGCTAAGCGAGTCGTTGCTTGAATCGCCTTGACACTGCCTGCTGCCCTCGTCCCTCCTGCTGCTGCCCTGCCTGTCGCTGCCATTGCTGCCGTCTCTGCTGCTTCTGGGGCAGCTGCTGCTGCGGCTGCTGCTGACGGTGCTGCTGGTGCTTTAGCTGACACTGCTGCTGCTTGTGCTGAAGTTTGTGCTGCTTGTGCTGCCGTTGCTGGGATTGCTGCCACGGCAGAACCCACTGCTCTTGCTGCTTGCGGCGATCCAAATAGTCCTGCCCACGCTGCCTTAAACCCTGCCTCTGTTGCCACTGCCGACGCTGTAACTGCTGCTGCTGACCTTGCTGCAGCTTCTGCCGCTGGTGGTGCTGCTCCCCCTGCTGCTGGTGATGGCGTTGCTTCTGCTGCGTTTGGGACAGCAGGTGGCACATGCCCTCTTGCACTGCCCGCTGCGCTCCCTCTGCTCTAAAGAGGAGACAACGAGGAGATGAAACGAAGACAAAAGGCAGGGAAGAAGGGAGAGAGAACAGGAGGAAAGAAGGAAGGTTTGGGACAGCATGTGGCACATGCCCTCTTGCACTGCCCGCTGCCCTCCCTCTGCTCTAAAGAGGAGACAAAGACGAGGCAAAATGAAGACAAGAAGAGGAGACAGCGAAGCAGGGAGTAACGGAAAAACGAATGGATATAAGGGACAGCGGGGAAATTGACTGCTGTAAAACATGAAGGAAACGGGAGCTGGGATGCTGACACGAATAAGAATCCACGCAAAGAGACGACAACATCTATGCATTCTGTAATGCATCTGCGCTGACTCAAACAGCATCAGAGACGGGAATCACCTTGTAACACTTGACGACGGCAGTTCAGGTGCAACGGGTACACCTGAAGCTCCACCAGCAGAAGTACCTCCACCAGCGGAAGCACCTCCACCAGCAGAAGCAGCAGCAGCAGCAGCAGCAGCAGCAGCAGCAGCAGCAGCACCACCACCACCACCATTACCAGCACCACCAGCACCACCACTACCACCACCACTAGCAGCACCACCAGCAGCACCACCAGCATCACCACCACCCTTCTCCTCCACCTCCTCTTCATCTGAATCTGAGAGCAGTTCAATCACCTCTGCTTCCACAGCTTTAGCAGTACCAGCACTCTTAGCACCGGCAGTCTTAGCAGCAGCACCCTTAGCACCAGCACCACTCTTCCCAACAGCAGTCTTTCCCCCCCCAGGAGTAGTACCACCCCTCGTACTCACACCAGCACCCTTTACTGTCACACTGCTACTCACACTACCCCGCTTCTCCCTCTCTACAGTCCCACGTGTGGCCCTCCTACTCTCCACCACACCATCTCTCCCAGAGGATGCTGCTGCTGAATCACTTGAACCCTTTGCTCGTGCTCGTGTGGCAACAACAAACCCTCCAGAAGCTGATGCTTCTCCTCTACCTCCCTCCTCCATCACGCCACCTCTCCCTAATGATGCTGCAGAATCGTTTGAACCACTCCCTCTTGCTCTTAGAGCAACAACCACCCCCCTAGAAGCTGTTGCTCCTCCTTTGCTTCCCTCCTCCACACCTCTAATCACTCTTTGCTGCTGCTGCCCCTGCTGCCCCTGCTGCCCCTGCCCCTGCACCTGCTGCTCCTGCCCCTGCCCCTGCCCCTGCTGCCCCTGCTGCTGCCCCTGCTGCCCCTGCTGCTGCCCCTGCTGCCCCTGCTGCTGCCCCTGCTGCCCCTGCTGCTGCCCCTGCTGCCCCTGCTGAGCCTGTTCCAACTGCAGTCGAATCTGAGCGGCCTCTTCCTTCGTGCAGATGACATGCAAATCGCGGACCACCATAACAGTATTCTTGCCCTTCCGATGCCCTGAGCCGCTGCCCGAACCACCACTGCCAGCAGAACCACCTATGCTAACACCATCCTTCCCATCCTTCCTTTCAACTGAACCCCCTTCAGCCATCGCAGTGCGGAGCACCATAAAAGTCTTCTTGCCCTTCCGTTGCCCAGAGGCGCTGCCTGAATCACCACTGCCAGCAGAACCGCCCGTGCTTACACCATCCTTCCCTCCCTTCCCCTCTTTCCCGTCCATTTCCTCCCCCCCTCCCTTCCCAACCTTCCCAATCTTCTCATCCTTCTCATCCTTCTCATCCTTCCCATTCCTCCTCTCCTTCCCCATATCTAAAACCTTTTCAACCTGTTCCTGACTTCCTTCCGCTTCCCCCTCTCCCTTTCCTCCACCTTCCCGTCCTTCTCCTCCCGTATCTCCATCTCTCTTCCTCTTAGCTCCACCCACGCTCGTGCCCCTTCCCCTAGCACAGCCCTCCTCTCCCACCTCCCCTCCTCCCACCTCCCCTCCTCCCACCACACTTTCCACCAGCAGATCACAACCCTCCCCCACTTGCTCCTCCTTCGTCAGCTCCCCTCCTCCCACCACACTCCCCACCAGCAGACCACAACCCTCCACCACTTGCTCCTCCTTTTTCACCTCCCCTCCTCCCACCACACTCCCCACCACCAGGTCTCGACCCTCCCCCCTTTGCTCCTTCTCTTCCCCAAAACTCTTCTCCTCAAGCCCACGCCCACTGTAATCAGCAGCCGGTTTCTCATCAATCATTCCATCCATCCCTTCTGCACGCCCATGCGCCTCACATGCCATCCCTGCTGCTGCATGCACGCCCATTGAAATCCCTGCACGCCCACTG